ATCCATAGCAACAGCAACTGGAATGAAATCTTTTTATGTATATATAAGACATATGTATTTCTCTTTCTCTCTCTACATATATAAGAATATATATGTATTATAATATACACACATGTTTCTATTAAATTTCAGCTCAACAACACTTGAGCTTCCCCCTTGCAAGTGTATAAAATATTTGACTAATCTGTCATTAATTTTGGCATATTTTGTGCTTTGTTCTGTTTAACTTTTGGCTGGCAAACGCAGCTGTTGCCGCAGACTAATTAAACAGCTGTCTAAGGCGCCTCCTTGGAAGCATTCCACAGCATTGAATTACGCAGACAAACGAAGCGAACGGCTCAACATGTTTATAGGGCAGACAAACACATATTGCACCTCTAAAGCTAATATGTTTTTCATTTTATATTTCACTTAACTAAGAAGCACATAAAATGAAAGTGATAAAAATGTAGACACATTTGGATGGCCAGCAGTGTAGGGGTGCGAGTCCTTGACTCTCGCTGAGCGACAATTAAATCGTAACGGAGCTGTCGCAGTAATTAACTAAGACAAAAGGCAGCTTGATTAGCAAACGATTCGATTTCGGTCAGGTAAATAAAATATTTAAGCAAATTACGTCAAGAGAAGCGAAAAACTTGCAAATCAATGCAAACAACTGGACAAACAACATGTGTGAAAGAGCAGGCGAAAGAGGGGCGGAGTAGCAGATGAATAAGAAACTGAAAGCAAAAGCTTTTGTGATATTAATTAAGCAAATTTACGTTGAAAGATGTCAGTGTGCCACAAGGATGCAAAAACGTGTTTTGATTTTATATATTAGAAATTGAATTTGTATATATGTATCTGCGGAGAAACAGGAAAAACAAGTAGAAGATCGAGCGCTGAGCGGCAAAGGCGAATTGTAAATGCTCTTGCCTTAGCTGAATAGCGTTAAACAATGCTGATTCTAATTGGATTAATTCAATTAGAAAGAGTTTATGTAAGCACCAACTAACAATTGTTAAACATCATAAAATCCCAATTGGATTAATGTAATTTGTATTTAATAGTTTGCTTTGTTCAACTTGGATAAGAAATGTTTATTAACAGCATTCCAATGCGATTGCTGCTAAGTACCTTCAGACTCCAATTGGACTATTTTTATTTGCTGAATGTCATTGATAAGAAAGGTTGAGTAATAGTCAATTGGATTAATGCAATTGGAATGTAATAGTTTTTCGATAAGTATATATAAAACTGTTGATTAAAAGCATTCCAATTTATGTTAGAGGAACAACAGTAAACAATAGTATTTAAGCCCCAATTAGATTAATGTAATTGCAATGTAATGCTTTAGCCTTCTGAATAATAATGATAAGAAATGTTGATTAACTGTAATCCAACTGGAATGATTCAATTGGATTATGCAATATATATAAATATATATATAATATATATATATAATGGTTAAAGAATTTGGCATAGTTAAAAATTTAGAATATATGATGAAAACCATTTGTGAGCATAGTGCAGCATTATCAGATTAACTCCAATTGGATTATGATGTACTGCATACGTTTTGATAGGATAAAAACCCAACCGCCTGCCAATTAGTTTCCAATACGCCTCAAACTGGTGCAACTTTAATACAGCTTTAGAGAAAGCTAAGCTTATGTGTCAAGCTAATATACTCCATTTAATCTAGGGTGTATACATCCATAGACATATTCAACTGGCGGGCTGAAGCAAACGTTTAATGAAAGTGCAGCAGCAGCAGCAGCAGCAGCTGGCAACAAGTTGCACGCATGCGCATTAGAGCGAGACAATGGGGCAGAGTGAAAGAGCGTGAGAGGGAGAGGCAGAGGCGATAGCAGATAGACAATGTGCATATGGCAATGCTTTAGAATTTTACTAGTTGTTCTTGTTGTTGTTCTGTTTCATGATTTCATGTAACCGGTTTTTCGGGTACAACAACAAGAAGTTGCGACTCCCATGAGAGGCTGCTGCTGCTGTTGCGGCTGCAGCTTGGGTTCATTGTTTACACAGACATAGCTGTTATAGCTGTTTTGTTGTTTGTTATTGTTGCTGTTGTTGTTGTTGTTGTTGTATATGTGCTTTACTCTTTGTTTGCTACCTACCTTACTTACTTACGTGCCAGCCTATCTAACTGTGCCCCTTTTGCCTCTCGTTCTCTTGGTTTAATTACATTTTTTTTTTCATTTTTCCTTTTTTTTTTCAACGAAACAACTTCACATATAGCGGAAGTTGTACAAAAGCCGCAAGAGAGACCGGCTAAAGCAAAAAATAAATAATAAAAGGCATGAAGAAGGAGTGAAGAAAAAATAATATGGCCTGGCGAGCTGAGAAGTTGCCACAAACATGTGTCACACACAGCCAACAGCCGAAAGGGTCAAAATGTGTTCAGTTGCGAGTTTAAGGCCAAAAGTTTCCAACTGCCAATTTCAGCAGAATAACCTGAAATTGCTTTAAAAGATCTGGTGATAGTTTTGCTATATGTTTTAAGTATCTTATTATTTTAGTTTTATTTATATTTGTATTTTTTTTACTTTTTGTTAAATATGTACATATGTATCTATATAATTTTTATTTCTTTGATTTTAATTTCTTTATTTTTTTTTTTAATTTTTATTTTTTTTTATTTTTTAGCTTCTCATATTTTGTGTTTAAGAAAATAATATAGATTACTTTGACATTTTTCTAGGTAAACTATACAAATATTTTATATTCTTACAATTTAAGTTTTCGTTTTCAATTTGCCATTCTCCAATCAGCATATGTATATAACATATGACTTATTGGTCCAACTGCATTGGAGCTTAACAGTTCTCAGCCTGCAAACGCTGTTAATGATCCTCGCTTTAAAAATGTTAAAGACAGAGCTGTGCTTAAGTGCAGCGATGGCTATAAAAACTCTGCTGTATGCAGTTTCAGTCTCCAGTTTTCATAACAGTAAACAAGGCAGTGTGCTAGGTCTTTTCAATATACCAATTTATTCTTTTTACTTCCTGAATGAGCATTGCCTTTGTGTCGATTGTCGACCTTGCCAGTTGCCGCTTTTGCTAGTGTTTACTGTACTTAAGAGTCAATTTAGATTACGTTTTTTTAAATTGAATTTGAATTCAAGGATTCGCATAACTGTAAAACTGAACGCAGTTTGCATAACTTAAGAAGTGAACCTTAAAGCTAAGCTATAAACTAGATTCAACAGGTAATTTATAAATATATATATATATATATATATATATATATATATATATATATATATATATATATAGTATGTATTTGATATAAAGGCTTACCTCAATAACAAGTTAGAGCAACAAGTGACATTGACGCTGACGCCTATTGTTGCAGTTGTTGTTGTTGTAGTTAGACTCAATGTTGCATTCAATCAAACTATATATATATATATACACAGACACAGATCCCGCTGCAATTGTAGAAAATTGTATTTATTATATGAACACGTTGAGCACTTTCACGGCGCACAAAAAACAATTAATTGACTAGATTTTTTCTTCTCTGCTTTATGCAGTTTGCCTATCAACAGCTGGCAGGCTGCACACACTTATTTTATTTTATTTTTCTTTTTTTTTTGCACACTTTGGCGAGACGAACGTAAAAAACTTTCGCTCAAAAACGGATGCAGCAGGCGGCTTCCAATAGGATTTGGCTTAACAGTGAGGGAGGAACAGAGGGGGGCTGTTAACAGTCTAACTGGTTTCTTGTAACAGGAATTTGAGCAGTGTTGCCAAATGTCAGGCATTTCATTTCATTTCATTAAAAACAAACATACTAAAAGAACTTATATCCGGTAATTTATACAATTTCATTCGTGTTTTTGTTTTTCACCTGACATATTTACGCATTCGCATGTTGTCGGCGTTCTAATTTATTTGTTGCCCTATAAAAATAAACATATTTTGTGTATTTCGTTGAGTTTTTTTTTTGCACTTTCTTTGCTTGCAAGAAGTGATCTTTCTCTCTCTCTCCCTCTCTCGATCTTTCGCCTATTTATAACAACTCACGCATACCACACACACATACGCGCGCGCTCGCATAGATGCCGCTACTCACACACACGGACGCCGACACTCACACATCAAAATAGCCAAAAAGCAGCCAAACGTAGCAAATTACAACAACAGCAACAAGAACACAATACACAGGTGAAAATTAGTGCAGCAATTTTTGTGGTTTGTCTTAACTATAGTGGCTATTGTTGTTGTTGCTGATGTTTGCTGATATTACAGTATTTTTGCATGCGTGCCACTATAAAGTGTATTAAACTGCAAACGCATATAAATTAAATGCAAACATGCATAAACCGACTACTTTTCAGTTTATTTATTAATTTATTTCTGTTTTCAATATTTTGCTCTCTTTATTTATTCAAACTGCAAAGAACATACAATCAGTTGGTTACTTTTTAAATTTCCTTCTTTCAGATACGCGCGCGTTCCGTGCCGACACGTTAACACTTCGGCGGCAAAACAACAACTAACTTATTAATATTTGTTCATTCGCATTATCTCTGAAAAATGTTTGAGAAGAAACCTGTGACATTTGCTCTCCGAACAAGTGTTATCGCTTTATCTACTTTTAAACTCAAATAGGTTATGTTAATGCTAAACTGATCTGTTACGACTAACGTGATCTGCTGCTGCCTGTTCAGCTAAAGGTATGGTAACAAATGTGGGGCAGACTGGACTGTTTTTATTGTAACAATAATTGTTAATAAAAAAATTAAAAAAATATTGCTATTTAGAATTATTGCTTTTTATTTATTTTATTAACAAATCAAAAACTGTTTCTGCAGCAAAAGACTGACTCACTGTTATTAACAGCTTCGGTTTATGTTAAATGCTTGGCGGAATTTTCAAATTCCAAATATAAGAATTTTTTTTAATAATTGGTAATTTATTTTTGGAGATTGAAATGAATCAAATGATTATAAAATACAATTAAGATGAAATTGCGAACGAGGACAACTTATTTAACTAGTTTGGCAACTACATGGACAATGGTTATTTAAATTTGCTAATTAAGTTCACACACAAAATTAAAAAAGGAACTAAACTAAACAATAGACATGAAAGGTGGGCAACATTGCATTTCAGACTGATACTTAACTAAATTATGAAAAGGAGGATTATTGCATTACAATTTTGACTTCATATGAAGAATGTCAGGAACGTGTCGAAGGCGTTGAGCAACAGACCATGGACACATCCAGCGAAGTGCAGGGCAGATCCTGGGAGCAGGCAAAATTCGAATTGCTGTTCATCTCATTGAAGCCGCTGTCTGTACGATAGAAGCCAACGCCAGGTACAGGCGCAGTTCTGTTTTCATGTTGCGGTGCCTCGACTGCCTCTACCTGGTCCTCTGGTTCCACATCGTCTAGTAGATTTGCACCAAATGATTGGGACAAGTTCTTTCTGTTAGCAGAACGTCGTCGTCGGTGTCGCGGCGTATCCGAATTGGAGCTACAATTGAAGCTGTGTGTCGACAGCTGCGACAATTGAATGGCGTCTGTATCGGCATCATCTTCGTCATCTGTATCGAAGTCCGCCTCTGTTGTTTCATCATTATCCTGCTCGACGGTGACCACGTTTGCTTCCTCTATCAATGGTCCGTTGGGCAATTGTTTTGCACTATTCATATGCAAACGACTCACACGATGATTGATGCTGCTGTCTGTGGAGTACTCCAAGGCCATGGGCGAAGAGCTGCGATCGGGTGTAAATTTACAAGTGGCTCGTGCTGTGCCGGTTAGCTCTGAGAGGGTTACATGTTCGCTGCTGTTGCTACTTCTGCTCCTGTATAGGCGCCTGCTCAAGTGCTCCGATGGCGCAATCGGTGAAGGCAGGTCCACTAGTTCATTCAGCAGCTGTTTGCGCCTGCGCCCGCTACTTCTCCCGTTACCATCGTCCGGAGTACCAGCTGGCAGACCGCAGAGATTCCTAATGGGCGACAGGCAGCCAAAGCTGCTTGAGCCCTCGCCGGCAGAATCGGAGAGACGGCCAGCAATCATGGTCTGCTTGGACTGTGGACTGGATCCCACCATTTGGGCATACTGCGCATCTGCTGGCTGGTTCTGCTGCTCCACCTGATCAAGCTCGCCCAGCACAATAATATTTTGCAAATCAAAGAGCTTGCGACGCATGGAACTGTTGAAGATATCGCCACCGCCAGCTGACTTATTTAGCTGTACGCCCGCCAAATGTGGCTGCAAATAAGGACGCAGTGCCTCTTCTAATGCTTTGGGCAGCACAGGAGGCAAACTGAGTTCTGTCTGCACCTCACAGTCTCTGGAACGTTGCTTTGTTTTGTTAGATATAGGCGTGTTCGCATTTATTTCGTTAATAATAATGCGATGCTTGCGCAGCGGACAGTCCACGGGACTGGGCACTATATGCGATTCCTTGAAAAATGTGCTAATAGCCAATTGTGCCTTGGATTCTTGTTCTGCATCTGGCGAGTCATGAAATTGTGTCTCGTGCGGTTCCACATCCGCGGGCTTCAACTGCGACACCTCCTCAATGTCCCATTCGAATTGAGTGGAAGACAGCTGTGGAGTGCGTGAGCGACACTGAAATAGTGATGGACTAGGAATGGTAATGCATTAATATAGTATTGACTAGGGTTGGATCCGAGACTCACCTGGCTATTAAAGGTAAATGCAGACGCTCTGCTAGAGCGCCTTCGAAAGGATTTCGCACCTTCTGTAGTCGTTTCGGCGGCGGTGTGCACACCGTTCCGTACAATTGGGGGCTGCATTTTGATTTATTCGAGTTGGCGCCATTCGTCGGCGTTGCAGACGCCGCTGCTATAAAATGGTTGCTGTTGCTACTGCTACTGCTGCTTCGTCTGCCACTCGTTGTTACGCGACATTTGAGCTCGTTGAGGCTGGCATAATATCGCGTCTTGAGTGCTTGTGGCGTACGCACCTCATCTGTGTACATGTTCTTTTACAAATATATTGATTAATTTTGGTTTGAAAATTTATAAAATTTTTTTACACCGCTGCCTGATGCAGGCAGCTGTCAGTATATTTCAAATGCGACAGTGTTGTAAAGCGATTGCAAGCATTTATCGATAACGCCAGCACAGACGTTGATTGTTTGAATTGCGGAGCGCCAAGAACTTATCAAAATATTCATTTTGTTTATATTTAAAGATATAATAATTTAAGTAAAGATATTTCAATTTAAGTGCTTTGATTTTGCCAAAATGCAGTATTTTTTAATTGCTTGATTATTTTTTAAATGTCTACATTGCCCACAACCATTCACCCGGAAATATGAAATTGTCATGCAAATGCAAGCACTCCCACTTCATCCTTTCAAAATCGCCAATATCTGCGATACCTGTGACGTCATTTAAAACGTGTCATTATGCGAAAGTCAAAAGTAATTACGTGGGAAAAACATATTCGAATTAATAAAGTCAACTAAACACCGCGCCTATGCTTATATTCGAAGTGAGTATTGCATTCGCTTGCGATTGTTATCGATATCCTAGCTATATATTGTAATTTTTCACAGCTGATAAATAAGTGCAATTTAAAAAAGTATTTATTTGTTTTGTTTGAAATTGAAACTTGAATTATTGCCAACTGCAGATAATGCTATATATATATATATATCAACAAATCAGTGGCGCACTTTGACCGCTCAATCAATTAAAATTATTTAATCAACATGCTGATATATACATTGTACTCTGCATTTGGTGTGCCTTACTTTTAGTTTCCCAGGATGATGGGAACAAAGCAAAACCTTATCTCTTATTTATATTTTTTATTGATTTCAAGATCTAATTGCAAATACCTCAGCCGAATTCAATGTTTTAATTAACTAGAAATATGCAAATCAGGCGTGCGACTAAGCAATTTAATTTTAGTTTAATTCGCATTCAATTCCCAAATCAGCTTTCGATTCACATTTTACACTGAGCCAAAAACAAATTAATATTCTTGAATTAAATATTGTGATTTACATTTATGTGTGGCAGCAAAGAATTAAATTTAGTTTTTAATTTGCTTACCTAATTTTATGGTCTATAAAAACCATTTTTAAGTAACAAAATAGAGTATTAGAAAAATAAAAATTAAATAATTATTTATTTCTAGTTTTTTTAACTGTTTTTTTTTTTTTTTAATTGGAGAGGCACCGACTAGCAAACACCCTAAATACTGTTCAGAGCTACTGAACAGACATCACCACGGGCGCCACCTATTGGGTGTTTGTGAAACTGCGTCACTTTACCGTTGGTTCGCATTAATTTTTGTATTGCTTCGGTTCTAACGGTGCAGGCGGACAGGGAGAGATTGATACCCGCAAAACAAAGGGAGTTAAATTATTTACAGGGTATCGCATCATTCTGCCTGTTTCAAATATTTGCATAGAGAGTTACCCTCAAATTCGATTCGCTATGGGATAAACAAATTTAAAGCCTTTTTAACAATTCTTTGGGTTCGTTAAATAACTAAAGTAGGCACAAAACTTGTTAAACTCGTTGACCAATCTGCTATAAAAGCGCATATCAAAGCAACTGCTCGAGCAGATGAAGCTGGCTACAGGTGTAAAATAAGGTTAGAGAAGTTAACACCAGATCGATTATAATATTAGCTGGTCAACATGTGCGGCATTTTAGCCATATTCTCAGCGACTGGAAGAGCTATTGGAAAAAGGCGTTTTCAAGGCAGCGAACACAGTTTGCGGGAGCTGGCCTATCGACAGAGTGGGAGGCAACGGCATCGCGGACCCGACGATACGGGTGTCCTTGTTATAGAGGAGCAGGGCGTGGCTTTGGTGCATGAACGACTCGCTGTCATTGGCGTGGAAACAGGACATCAGCCGCTGGTGTCGCAGGATGGCAACGTTGCCTTGATAGCCAACGGCGAGATCTACAACTATGTGGAGCTGACCAAGCAGATTGGCAAACGGTTGCCCGGCTATCAGCCCAAGAGCGACTGCAATGTGATAATCGAGCTGTATGAGGAGCATGGCAAGGATCTGCTCCAGCACATCACAGGTATGTTCAGCTTTGTGCTCTACGATCGTCGCAGCCGACAACTGCTGGTGGCACGCGATCCCTTTGGCATTATTCCACTCTACATGGGCCAGGACGCGCAGGGCAACATGTGGTTTGCCTCGGAGATGAAGTGCCTGATGGGCGTGTGCGAGCAGTTGCAGGTCTTTCCTCCCGGTCATCTGGCAGCGGGCACAGTGAAGCAGCAGCTCCAGCCCGTGCGCTACTACAATCCGAGCTGGCGCCAGTTGACACCCACCCGGCAGGTGAATCTGCAAGAGCTGCGCCAGCAACTGGAGCTAGCTGTGCGTACGCATTTGCAGTGTGACGTGCCCTTTGGTGCGCTGCTCTCCGGTGGCGTGGACTCCAGCTTGATAGCCTCTATAGCTGCCAGGATTATGAGGGAACGAGACCCTAACTATAAGCTGCGCACCTTCTCGGTGGGCATGCCCGGCTCGCCAGATTTCGAGCATGCACGCCTGGTGGCCCAGCACATTGGCAGCCAGCACTCGGAGATCAGCTTCACTGTGGAGGACTGCCTGGATGGTGTGCGCGATCTGATCTATCATCTCGAATCATATGATATAGCCACTGTGCGTTGCAGCCTGCCCATGTTCTACCTGTCCCGGCATGTGAAGAGCACTGGCATCAAGATGATACTCTCTGGCGAGGGCGCGGATGAAATCTTTGGTGGGTATCTCTATTTCCACAAGGCGCCCAACTACGAGCAGTTCCACGAGGAGATGGTCACACGCTGTGAGCAGCTGCATGTCTCTGACATATTGCGTGCCAACAAGGTGACCATGTCCAAGGGGCTGGAGCTGCGTGTGCCCTTCCTGGACACCCAGCTGGTGAACCATGTGATGGGCATACGTCCGCAGGACAAGATTCCAGGTGCTTTAAATGAATTCGCAGGTGAACGCAAGTGGCGCATGGAAAAGTTTGTGTTGCGCGAAGCTTTCGCTGGCGATTACCTGCCAGACGCTGTGCTCTGGCGTCAGAAAGAGCAATTCTCGGATGGCGTGGGCTACGCCCTCATCGATGCCCTGCCCGAATTTGCGGCTCGTCATGTGACCGATGCCCAGCTCCACTCGGCAGAACAACGTTTTCCCATCAATCCGCCCAAGACCAAGGAGGGCTACTACTATCGCTGCATCTTCGAGGAGCAGTTCCCGGGAAAAGCAGCCGCCAACACTGTGGAGAAGTGGGCGCCACGCCTGGACTGGGGTTGTCCGGAGGATCCTTCAGGGCGGGCACAGGCCGCACATGATCAAGCCTATGGAAAGTGTTAAATATTTTCATTTCTTGTTTGCAATTGACATTTGAAAAAGTTCTTTAAAATATTAATAATAATTACAATAATAATAAGCAATGTAAATTACAATCTACTGTGAGTTAATCAATTATTAAATAAACGGTTCTAATAAATGTATTTTTTTCCCAAAAATCAATCAACTAAAACATTTAAATAATAAACTTTCTCACGCCTGGAACAATAAAATTTGACCTAACATTCAATTGATTACTTAATTAATGCAAATAAAAATAAAAACTCGCACGTGGGTCATTGAGCCAAGCAGAAGGAAAGAGATGGCATGCGATAAGCAAACGTTATCAGCAGATAGAGCAAGCACGGGATATTGTTGACATCTTGAATGAGAGAGAGCGTTCGAGAGAGCAGTAGCTCTTGATATGTTGTATGTGTGTACATATGTGCTCATATATTTTTAAATTAACTGTTGAATTGGATACAACTAACGAGTCGAAGCGAAAAACTGACGCAACTTGGCGGCCTTGTCAGTCAGCCGAGTCCATCTGAGCTGTCTACTTGTTTCAAATAATAATAAACAATGTAAATTACAATTTCTCTTGAGTTATAAAACTATTATACAAACTATTCTATTATACTATTTATCCAAAATTAATTTAATTTTATTTTTGATAATCGGCAGTCAACTAAAAATTTAAGCAATAAACTTTCACAGGCGTTGAACAATGGAATTTTACCTAACATTCAATTGATTAGAAAATAAATGCAAATATATAAAACTGCTGAGCGCTACTTTTTTTTTTTAGCTCACGCGTGGGTCTTTGAGAATATCAGATGGAAACAGATGGCAAGCGGCAGAACAAACGCTGCCAACACAAAACATAGCACGCTCTGAAAGAGCACGAAGCTAGAAACTGACGCAACTTGGCGCTCTTGGCAGTCAGCTGAGTCGAGTCGAGTCGAGACGAGACGAGCCGAGCCGAGCCGACGGTGACAGTGCCGAGTGCTGTCTTTAAAAGAGCGCCACAGCATGAGCGCTTGCAGTTGACGTTAAGTTTTGCTAAACAGCGGACGCTTTCAGGGGCGAAGGGCAAATAGCGAATATTGAATAACGTGTATCGTATATCGGTAAATTACATTTAAGAATCATGTGTGGCATTTTTGCTATATTCTCCAGCGATGGAGCACCTATTGAGGCACAATGTTTGGAGGGCTGCAAGCACAGTTTGCGCGAGCTGGCCTATAGGCAGAGTGGAAGGCAGCGACATCGTGGTCCCGATTCCACGGGCGTGCAGATTATAGCCGAGCAAGGAGTGGCCATGGTTCACGAGCGCCTACGCATTGTCGGCGTCGAATGGGGAGATCAGCCATTTGTCTCAGATGACGGCAACCTCATGCTAGTTGCCAACGGTGAGATCTACAACTATCTAGAACTATCTGCACTGATAGCGAAGAGACGTGGCAGCTATAAGCCGAAAGTGATTGCCACGTTATATTAGAACTTTATCAAGATTATGGTGTGGAGCTGCTGCAGCATATTACGGGCATGTTTGCATTTGCCTTGTATGATAAGCGCAGCAAAGAGCTGCTGCTGGCCCGGGATCCATTTGGTATTATACCCATGTACATAGGCGAGGATGCAAAGGGCAACATATGGGTGGCATCCGAGATGAAGTGCCTGACAGCATGCTGTAAGCAGGTGGAGACCTTTACGCCTGGCGAGGCGCGTTTCGGCCGAGTGGGTGCAATGCGTCGCTGGCGACATTTCGA